GAAAAATATCCATTAGTGATGACAAGGATTTCTCACTTAGAAATACTTACCAGTGTAGAATGTTAATATTTGTCATATTTTCAATCAAACTTCATGAGGCTCTGTCAGGTTGTACATACAAAGAACATGGTCTGCAACTGAGAAATGAGAGAACAGAGATTAAAACTGTCCAATGATAGTAAGGAAAACTCATTACTGGAACTGAAACAATAGTAAAAAACAACTCCCTCTTCTTTAAATACTTAGGCAGGGAAACATTTTCCCTGAGATTTAAAAATCCTTCTCGTACACACTTAGGAAAACTATATGGAAATACTTTCCTTGCTGGTAACTCCATTTAAATTTGTACAGCAAGGCTAAGGGTAAATTTAGAGAGAAGTTTTTCTCAGAAATGGTGCACTAGGAAAGTGATTACGCTGTTGGTAGGAAGGAGAGGCAATGGGAGGATGGATGCAGGAGGACTTTCGCTGCCTTGTCAAACCAGAATGTCTTTCTGCAAACTAAGGAGAGGAACTTCATTCAATCAACTGGCATTACCAAAGAACTTAGACACTTCCCTTTTTTTTTAAATTTTTTTATTAGTTGTCATTCTTTGACATGATGAATACTTACAGCAGTATGTTAAAAAAGATACAGTTAAGTCTCTTGGCATCACTGCATAGCAGTCACAGCATTTTCACACAATCTAGTGCTTCCTTTCAGAATGATGCATATGGCATATATACGCACATATGGGGGCTGATTCTTGGTCCCAGTGAAGTTGGGGGGACCAGTGTTTGGCCCATAGAGTTGTATAAGATATATGAATATGTATATATAAAATGCTTTACAATAAACATGACATATACAATCTTGAATTCAAAGATAAGCAGAATATATTTTACATCCAAGTCAAACTTATGCTCTGCACTTAAAAGTTTATGTACCTAAAATATTGGATGGATTATAGAAACAAATACTAGATTAATAGTTTGCACCAATCAGAGTAATTTCAATATATATTCATGGCATGAAGCTTGCCTTGAGTGTTTGTTTTGTTTGTGTTTTGGGGTGGATTTTTTGGGATTTGCAGGATTGTAATTCAAAGTTGATTTCTGTTGGCTGTGAGTGGGGGATGGTGGCATCAGGAGGGGAATGGACATACTTTATGGACAACTCAGCTGAGTGATGTAAAATATAAGGCTATAAATTATGGCTGGTACCTGAAAATAAACTTGTAATTGTTTGTTTCTCCTATCTGAGGAGAATCTATTTGGAAGGTCTAGTGTGCACTCGGTGTCTAATTTGATGGAAAGTTTGTAACAGAAATGTCAACCACAGATTGGAGAAGCTGGGGAGATGATAGCGATGCAGCATAACAATGGGTTTATCTCACTGACTGTGGCAGCAGCCTTCTCACTGATCCCTGGGGAGGCTTTGGTTTCCTTCATGGAAACCTAGAGTTTATACAAAAACAATTGACCTGTGTCGTAGATTAGATTAGATACAACTACAAATCATGTGTTTTGTTGGTTTTTGGTTTTTTTTCTGCCTCCATAGAATCTACTTAATCTCAGCTACTCCTCTCTCTGTTCTTTGTATGCCAAAGGTACATGTCTTCAATAGTTATTCCCCATTTGGCTGGTGGCTGGACCATTGACACTTAAAAACCCAAAGGTAGGTAAAATCTTTACTGAATGACAATGCATATGTATGCTTTAAACAGCCTAAAATTTTCACTTATCGCTTATTGTTGTTATTTATACAGAATTGCCTCTGATGTTATGAAAACTTCATTTAAAGAAGCTAGAATTAATTGCATTTGTGGGGCATAAAAACATTTTAACCTCCTGCTTTTAGCAGTTTTCTGCTTCTTTCTGTGTATGAAAACCTTAACTCAGTTTTAAAACTTCAAAATCTTTCAGCTGCACTGGCCCAGTATGAAGGAAAAATAATTTACAAGGGCTTTCTGTGAAGTGGTTAATAGGGCTGACAAAAGTCTGTATTACCTGCATAGTCTGTCTGTTCTGTGCATCAGAATTCTGTTGGCATCCTGGGGAGACATCCCAGTGCAGAAATGTTCTCCAAACTACAGAACCATATACACTGAGCACTGGTGCTGTTGGATCAGCTGTTAGTGGTTATGGTTTGGCTTCTAAGGGCAAGTACATGGTAGCAGTTTGCATTACAGACCCCAGTGAATCTGACTACCAGGCATCTGCTGCCAGAGCTGAACTTTTCAGTCCACTTCTGTCTTGAGCACCTCAGGCAAACTGGCTCAGACGCAAACTCTTGCAATGGGTTTGGCTCACAAGTAGAGAAGCATTGCTGGAGCCACCCTGAACTTAGTGTGAGCACTGTTTCATTGGACAAGGTGATTGAACTCTAGCAAGTATGTTCAGTGCACCAAAAACCTCCATAACCTGAAAAATTTCCAAGCAGCTTTTAAAAGTTGAGAAGTTTTAACTTGGTAAGAGCAAACTTGTAATGGGACCCTGTAGGCTGCACTCATAGGAAAGAACTTGGGTTTAATGTAAGCTATAACAAAACTTGATTTGTACCTAAGCTTTCCTGTTGGACCTATTTTCTAGAAGTTTTTCAGAAACAGCTCAACAATGTCTCTGTCAAGAGCTTTTTATGCCGCTAGATACTGGGTTTGTTTAACTTCATTTCAGAACATTTTAAAAATATTCTTTGAACTAGATGGAAAAGGTCTTCCATTTCTTAGTAAAAAGATAAAACAAGGGAAATTAGATCCTTTTATATGTACTTAAGTGCTTCTAAGCAGCACATCACACTGCTTGTGTAATGTCCTAATAATTGTCCTACATCTGTCTGAAGATACACCTAAAAAGCTGCAAAGTGGTGATGCTTCTGCCCCCATCATCAGGTGGTAAAGATGACATTCATGTCCTGTAGTTAGAAACAATTTTATTCTACCACAACTCTCCCTCTCTGTAGTACTTCTAATATGTGAGTCTCATTTAGAAGTGGGAGGAAGAAGGAGTTTTCTACTGCTTATACCTTAGATAACAGTAGAGGGTAAGAAAAACATCATTCCTGGAGTGCTTTGTGTTCTCACAGTGTTTTCCTCCTTCCTACTTCACTGGGTTTTAGCCTCTTTCTCTGAAGATACATACAAAGAATTAACAGAGTAAAACATCCTTTACTAAAACTTACGCTTTTTATTTTCCTTGAAACATGTTAGTCACCTAATGAGCACAAACTTTCTCTAATCTTGTAATTGAGAAAAACCTATTATCTCTTCCCTTGCACTTTTTTGAGTAAATATCTTTCTCAACCACCAACTCAAATAGCTCTTTCTTTGTTGGCCTCTCCAAGCTATTCACATCCCAGGATGATTATATGGTGACACCTGTTAGTTCTTCTGGAAAACAGCCTTACAGATTTGATGTACTGGGGGTTTACAACATTTCTAGACCTCACCTGAATGCAACTTTTTCTGGGGTCAGAAGCAAAGGGGACAGTCACTGTGGTGTGATGCAGTAGTGTCTGAGAATACAATCTCATTGAAGTCATGGATGCTAAAGTAAAATTTATAAAGATTTTCTGAACTGAGGTTGTTTATGGCATAGATAAGGCCATGTATCTTTCACAAACATGAGATCATGGAAAATTCCTCAGCAACTAAGATAGTTAAGAGGATTTTTCTTAATAGTCTGACTAAAACGCATTTTTTTCCTTCATTGACTGAGCCCAATGTAAAAGTCAGTTGAAGTATTATTTTAATTAAAAGAAAAATACAAATGCATTTTGATGCTATCTGAGGAGAGACTATGGGGAAAAATATCAGCTACACTGCACCATCTCTCGAGAAAACAATTGGACTCCAGATCTATTCGAATGTCATACTTTGTAGATCACTAAGATATTTAATAAAAATTCACACTTGAATAAATAGTAAATCAGGTTAAGCTTTCAAATTACATGGTGTTGCTGTGGGTTTTGGGATTTTTTCTGAACTTAAAACTTCAGGCTCTGTGAAACATTTGCCTAGATCAAATGTGCAAGGTGCCATGGATTAACAACACGGACCCATGTGGAATGTGTTTGAAGTTTTCAAGAATTTATCCTGCCAGACTTCATTCCTTAATGACCTTTGATACACCTTGGATAGTGGAAAGGCAGTTCAGAATCATATCTTGTAATCATATAATTTTGGCAGCTATCAGAAGATGAAGGATGCTAAAAGTTAAGGCTTTTATCCACAAACAATGGTGTATATTAATAAACTCTATACCATATTTACAAATGCTTTCTCTTGTATTAAAACTAACAGTATTCTGTTCACAGTGCCAATGTTTTTACAGGTAGCAATCCCACAGTACTCCAGTATTTTGGCATGGGAATCAGTAGCGCTTTGTATTTACAGAAAATGTACACATGAATATAAACAGGTTACTTGAAACAGTACTCAAAAGATAGATCTGTTCATGTTTCAAAGGTTTAGACTGTACTACACCTTCCCTTTCAGCTGTGAGGGAATACTGTTCCTTGCAATGAGAAGATGCCTGTCTTTTATCCAAAGTGGCATAAAAATGATTACCAAAATGAGCCTTGTTACACTGGAGGTGTGTATACAGAGAGTAACTTCAGTCCAGGGTTTATAGATCTGCTGTTTAGTGCACAGAATACAAAAGTTAAAAAGGTTTTTGTTTTAATTACTAAAACAACCAGACTCCCTCTGCCCTCAGCGAGCACCGTCTCACTCAGCCTGTCTCCTCTGGATGCTGAAGATGCTGGTGGTTCAATGTGCAGCCCAGCTGCCAGCCTGGAACGTGTGTGGTGCCCTGGGCCTATATACATATGTCACAGTTATGACCTGTGGTAAATGAATATACAACCAAGAATGCCTCTCTCTCTTCCCTGTTCTCTCAGTCACCTTCCCTGCTGCACAGCAGTCGTAAGGGGCCTGGCCTCACTCTGCAGTTCGTGATCAGAGGTGACCAACGGCGTCAGGCGTGCGCAGAATGGACAGGGGAGAGGAACGTAAAGATCAGAAACCCAGCAGAACCGTGGGCTTGTTTGTGAGCACCCTTACAGCTTCTGCTTTGCCATTTCTTCCCTTTCCACGGTCTTGACAACAGGCTCTTGGCTCCCCGCGATCTTGTTTGCTGCTGCGACCAAGACGGAGATAGCAGTGCTATAAGGAAAAGTGCGAAGCTGCCACTAAGGAGTCTCTTCTTCATTTAATGTCTGTTCCTGGCTGCCAGTCACTTGACCTGAGTGGTCATTGCTCCTACTACTGCTGTGTTGCTTGTGAAGCAAACTTCTCCACTTGGCCTTATTCCTCCTGAGATGGTTTAGCATATTTTCAGATAGGGGAGTATCGCCTGTAAACTGGGCCCACCTCTCAAAGAGTGGCTCAACGATGTATGTCATGAACCCTGGGGAAACACACAAGGGACACCTGGTGAGCAACCAATTAATTCCACAAGTGCACTGCCCTACAGAATGCCTTGAGAGGATACAAAAAGTGGCAAAAAACCTGATGAGAAATAACAATAAACCCTCAAGCAGCCATCAGTTCCTTCTGAAATGCACAGCTTTTGACCAACATGCATGACAAGATATGGCTTTATCTGTGTGTGTGTAACAGCAAAATCTCTGAGAATCAGCATCCCTCTGAAGAGATTTCAGACAAGAGAGTAACCAGTGTTTAATCACACACTGGCTGCAATTTTTCTCTATGGATATTATTTCCCCTATGCAATGACTCTATTGTCTTTCTGTTGAATACTGGCTTCCATAGGTTTCTTTTTTGAACATTGTTAAAAATAATTGGGGGGGGGGGGCATGGTGGAGAAAAGTTTCTCTTTGAGCTTGTGCCATAGTGACATAAACATGGCGAGAAGAGAATGAAATTAATACTTACCAATCTGTATGCTTGGTATTGTATCCTTCTGCTGATTACAAAGGGGACTTATTTCCAGTTCAAATTTTTGTTCCAGATCACCTGCAAAAACAAAGGAGAAAGTATTTTTCTGCCACTTTTATCTCTCCTCCATACCTATACCACACTCTTAGAGTGACCAACTGTGTGAATTTGAGCAGTTGGAATCTTCCACCAATGGTGACCATGTTTAATGTCTAAATACCTTCATTTTTTTGGACTTTAACTTTTTAGGTATCAGAGGAACTGATTATCCATGTAAAGAAAAATCTCTTTAAGAAAAGATGGCTTTTAAATGAACATTAAATCTGAGCATGTAATTGTTCTGAGCTCCTTAATTTTTAAAACACTCTCTCCTGTCAAAGATTTTTAAGACGCTCTAGTTCATTTGCTCACTGCTCAAATGTCTTCCTACTAGAAAATTACAGAATATAAAATTTAGAAGAGATGTGTCTCCAGCAGTACTGCAGTGTGAGTTGCTACTGCATGCTTGTGGGAGTGGCTGTTAAAGGGCAGTGAGATGCAGCTTGACAGTCCACAGCTGTGTCTGCACTAACAAACTAGTAAGGGCCAGACCATAGGCTCCAGCAACGTGTTCATGTGTCAAGAGCTATGGAGTGCAAGTTATAAATGTGGAAAAAGGCTGAAATGAAAAGCCTGTGTTATTATGGTAGTGTAGCTGGGTATCAGATGCACAATCTGCCTGATACAGAGGCTCTGCCTCTGCTGCTGCACTGAACATACTAATTTCCTGGGTAGTCCAGAAGTCCCCAAAGAGCCATCTGCACAGGACTGACTCGAGACAGCAGGCAAAGTGTTTGACTGGACTCTTCAACACCCTCATAGCAGCATATTTGACTAACTGGAGCGGGAGGTCTGTAGGTCCATATCTGGGACTGCCCTAAAGATTCCTGCAGGCAGCTCCTGCTGTGACTGGCCCTGGGGTCTGTTTCGAATTGTTGAAGAAAAGCCTGGCTGGAGGATCTGACACTCCAGATGTAACCTCAGATGGCTCCTGATGCAAAATTGACCAGATTGAGCATTGAGAGGATGCTTATAATATTTTTTTTAATGGAGTTGAGGGTAATCAATAGCAATGACCACGGGTATGATGGAGTGGTCACAGAGGACCAGCTGGATTTAAGAATTCAGCAGAAAAACATCTCAGAGTCTCATGTGCTCATTGCCATCCAGACAACAGTCACTTGTTCTGCTGGAGAGACTGCATTTCCTTGTGCCTGCAATTACTTCATGCAAAAACACTTCATTGCTCTGAGTTAAGTCTTGGGTGTGTTTTTGTTTTCTAAACAAACACTCTCTGTAAGTGCAATGCACTGATCCTTTGTGACGCTTAGCTTGCACACAGTTAATTCTCACTTCTCACCCGTACTGTAGACAGCAAAGGTCCTGCACCTCATGCAGTAACTAGGATTGTACCCAAGCAGTGCCTCAGAGAAGGCTAAGAAGGGCCACTTCCCCTCAGACAGTAATATTTTGTCCACCTGACAGGATTATACAGCCACCAGTGACAGTCTGACCACAGTTTCTGTATATTGCCCCACATTAAATGCTCTTTTTCTCCCTGTGATGCTTCTAACCGGTCTCATACACTTGGGTGTTCCCTTTCAGAGGTATGTTTGAGATGTTAGACTAATAAATGTCTAACAGCTGGGGAAAAAGCTCACATTGATAAGAGCTGAGAGTGCTTTCTTTCTTAGCACGATCCCTCAATATACTAAAGATGAGGTATCACACCTGTCCTCATAGCTGGATATTGATTATGTCTTGACTATACATCTGACTAAATAATCTTGCACCTGGCAAGCTGCTTATGTTGCTTCAAAGACATTAAAGTCAAAGACATTTCACCTGCTTAAACTGACATTGGCTGAAAATTAACTTGGTGACCTATTTGTCCTTGTTATGGACTAACTGTACCAGGTACCAGCTCAGGTGTGGCTTCATTCTGTCGTGCAGAATTTTAAATGAACTGAGAACTTCTTTTTGTGCTCTTCCAGTGTTTCTACTACTTGCCTTTAGCTCTCAGGATGCTCTGAGCAAAGAATTTAGCAGTGATTAAACTCTGCTGCACCCTGTATTGTAGCACAGCATGACCTTGCCTATGCAGATGGAGCCAAATGGTGTAATTACTGTGTTTCAAAAAAAACCCTGCCTGACTGCACTCTCTGCAGGGGTTTGAAAACATTTGCAATAGGTTCTAGCTGAGCTTTGGCTTGCCTGCTTTGGCCCTTTCAACAGCATGCTGGGAAGCCTGTTTGAACCCTTTCTCTGCATTTGCAGGCTGAAGAATGCGTCATATTTGGGAAACAGTGAGGGTAAGGCTCCCATCAGAGTTGTAGTGGGAGCATGAAAAGTGAGATAAAACACAGTGGACAGTGGTAGGATTTTGGGGCAGTGTGGCCCCGGCACTGTTCCAGCTCAGAAACACTAATGGTGACTGTAGAGCTCTTCAGCTGAATTCAAGTGCTGAGGCACAGCAGAGCTCTCCCTCCTGCCTGATACTGCTCACAGGAGCAGCAAGGGCAAAGAAATAGTTGCTGTTCTTCAACACCCTCCCACTTTTCCAATGAGGCAGCTCATTCTTAAGGGACATTTCAAGGCAAGCTGGCTATGCTGACTGCTCCCTCTGACTCACCACACGAGAAACAAGGAGAGCTGAGGTGAAAGGGGAGTGCTGTGTGTTGAAGGGACTGACTGACCTTGCCGGTAAAACTCTTCACAGACCCGTTCACTCCACTGTTTGCTCAGATCCCAAAGCCGGCAAGGGTTGCAAATGTCAGCACACTTCAGTGCAATCTGAAAGCAAGAAGAAAAATAGTGGTGAGGAAAGAAATTACTGTCTAGCAGTGCTTCAGCAGTAGCTCTGCAGTCATGAACACTCCCAGACCTCACCAGCAATGCTGGGAAGGGTTAAGATTACCTTTTAGAGACTCAGCCTTACCCAAATGTGCCCTTTGAGGAAAGAGCATTTATTTAAGCTGCAAACAAAACTTTCATTCAGCCCTCTGCTTTAACACAGTGAGACCAAGAAGAGGGCCAAATTCCAAGGCTGCAAAGTGTTTTGGATATTCCTTGCAAGGAATAAGCCAACAAAAGCCTCAGACTGGCTCCTGCTGACTGCTTGGCTCAGCATCCATGGCTGATGACAAGGAAGGGAAGGGCCAAACTGGTGTATTTGGGCATCGTTTCTCTGTGGTTGCAGTGAGTGACCTTGCATCTCACTTCAATTACACTTCATCTTAATGTCTGCATATTTTTGTTTACAAAGCTAAGCACAGGACTCTCTGCACTGCTCCAGCCTGGTTTCACTTAGTTAATGAGTACTTTTAAGTGCTTCGCAGGGGAATGAGTACAGGAGGGCAAGAGGTTTTTAAAATGAAGTAACTGCTTCAGAAAAGTAAACCATGTAGTAGTTTGCCTGTCTTACTGCCCTGGAACAAGATGTCATGTGCCTTATTTCTTCACAGACTGAACAGACTCAGTTAGCCTGACAGCGTTCAGAAGTCGTTTTGGCACCCGGGAAGAAAACACAGGAAATATTTCCTGTATAAATTCAGACCTGTGAACTGGAGAAGGGAAGTCTCCAAGTCACTTTTATCTCTGGATTAAACTGATTAGCCTTAATGTTACTGTCTATTACAAGGACCTTTCAAACATTCTTTAGTTTATTCGAATCAGTCAAGATTTCTTGATTTTTTTTTCCTTTTCTTCTTCCACAATTAATCCACCAGAAAAGTAAATGTCACCATGTCTGTTCCCTAGTTCTTATCTTCAAAAAAGTGCATTAGAAACTTTCTTGCCACAGTTGAGATCTGGAATTCCTCTGCCTTTGGCATTTACAGAATTTTCATGGCTAATCTGTCCAGAAATACAATAAGCCCATCATCCTGCCCTGCATGGTCAGTGCAGGAATCTGACAGAAGACCGTGTTTGATGCAGGACAGACAAGCAGTTACTACATTTCCCATGCTCCTGGAGGGGGAACAATTAACAGATCAGCACTTCTTTCCTTGCAGCTATCACCTTTTCTGTAACCTTGACAAGAGGAAACATGTGGGTGTTTGTTTTATAAATGATAACAACTATCTAAACTTCTCTAAGTATTTAAATATGAAATTAATGTAACTTCTTCAGAGAAGCATGTATATGCAGATGAAGAGTCTGATAATGACTGCAGCTTAGCTAGAAGGACCAGTGTGAATCTATTTGATTTCTGAATACAGCATGGTTTCTTCATTAGCTGGGCAGATGCACTACGGAAGCATCAGCTGCCATGGCAATAGCTGTCTCTCTGCAGAGGCAGTTTCTAGCATTCATCACACGATAGGACTTGGACACCTGATGTCAGGCTGTCCTGAAGGAACACCAATGAGGGGGCTCTTCTGCACAGTGCTAGAAAATAATAGCAGTGAAGTGACATTTGCCAGAAGAGGCAGAGACACTACAATCAAAGCACTGTTCTGGAAATAATTACTAATTTATCTTCATTTCTTAGCATTTGACACTTTCCTGTACCTGTTTCATTCACAACTTTTTAACTCAAGGAAATTACATAAGGAAACACCAGAGGCACCTTAGGCTTGCCTGACATGCCAGGTGGCAGAAGGAAAGTGCTTATGGCAATGGGTAAGGCGACGCTGATGTCCAGACATCATACGCTACTCTAACATATGCTAGGAAATACTATGACTTGAAAAATTAATACAAACAATAGTGGAAAAAATATCTATTGAAGTTACCTGAAGCATAAAATGTCTGTCTTGTGCATCCTCCAGCCTCAAATCCTGATTGTCAAGGTGAGATTTCAGACGAATCAAAAACTCATTCTGCCTGTTGATGTCTGTTGCCAAGATAAGGGAGCCCAACTGCTGCTCAATGTCCTGTCTGCAATGGAAGAAAGCAAGCCCCTTTAATCATGGAACCATTGGAATTAGTAGCTCAAAGCAACCTGCTATTGATCACAGCTAGCATAAAGCTTCCTCTTACTTTATGGATCCAGTCTGATCTGTTTGGTCAGTCTCTGCTGGGGTTTGCAGGGTACAATCATTCTACCTGCCCAAATGGGCTCAAGACAAATAATATAGAAGAAAAACACTTGGCAAAGGTTGTTCTGCTAGCTTCTAAAAGTGCTATGAAAGTAAAAAAAAACCCACTCCAAAACAGCAGCATGATGCATTGAAAAAAACACTGATGTCTTACTTCAGCTGCTCAGAGCTGGGCAATGACTAACTGCAACTAGGAAGTTACAGTTGAAGTTGTGAAGGACTGAAGTCCTTTAAAGTACAACTGATGTTGCTGCTCTGATGCAAAGGATTTCTGGAGGGATATGAAGCTGTTTATATTCTTGGTAAGGTCACCTGTGATTTAAAATTTAGTATTGCAGTCTGTTCATTGGTTCAATCTCCATTCCTTGGTGGGACTAACACTGCACAAACACAGCAGGTAAAAACTAGCAGCAACTTGGCCAAGGTGTTTGTTGCTGCTCTTTTTTGCTTCACTCATAATGACTGAACCATGCTTCCTCAGTCAGGAGTGGAAGTCCTGAACAGTCCTGATGCTACTCAAAAAACTTCTATTTTGTATTTCATGCTTTTTAATGACTAAATCTTTCCATATTCAGCTGGTGCTATGTAAAATGTACAATGGCAACAGTGGATCTAGAATCCACTCCTGTTGGGACTCCCAGTGTTCCTGGACTGACTGTGGCCATTCCTGTGCTGCAGAAGTGGCTACGCCTCAGGAAATACTTCTGCTGTCTAACTTTGCCTCATGATTTCATACCAGCACCAAGAGAGTTCAGTAAGTTCAGCGTATGCTGAAGCCTGGGCCTCTTTGCCACTGTCCTCCTATGAAGAGTGAAGGAAGCCATGGACTAGTGTCAGTGATGCATTTCTTCTGGTGGACACTTACGTCACCTCCTTGGGCAGGTGTGCGAGGAGCCGTGACTCTCGAAGCATGCCTATTGTAGATCTCCAGTGGTGGTTTTCCAGCACTGAAATGTTCTAGAGAGGAATAACAGCAACAAATTCAAGGATTAGGCAGGTATCCATGGTACAGACACAGATTTGCCCTATGACAGGATACCTAGAGCAGGTTGGACACGCCGTAACACAAGCCTAAGGTGTGGGCTTTTCAGTCTCCTTTCGGATCTGAGTAATTGGTTGAGATTTCTGTTGTTAAGGACCTTGTGCTCCTGGGTTTCTTAGCTAAGGTCAGCCCTAGGGCCCTGTTGTTCTCCAGTCTTTGAGCCCTGCTGTGAACAGAGGAGCTAATCTCATCTAAGTGGGAGGTAGCTTTCATTCTAACAGATTTATTAACAAATGAATTAAAGCAGGAGCACAAAATCATATTTTTACCTCCTACTGATCCCGGGTGGACTTCTTGGCCTCTGCAGTTTGAATGCAGAGCAGACAAGAAAAAGAAAACTAAATGCCACATTTCCCTTGGAGTCAGGGCCCTGGAAGCTGCCTGCAGCTGTTCAGTGAAAGTAAGAGGAGCAGCAGTACTGCTGAGCATTTGCAGGCTCCAACAACTTAGTCTGCAACAAATTTTGAGTCCTATTTGCTTGCTTCCAATTAAGTGGAACCAAAGTTAGGCTGGAAAAAAATTGCTAGGGAACAGAAATCCAGCTTTCTAGGTTGTCAGTAAATTACAATAAATTGGGCATCTTGTGTCTGATGACTTTAAATTACTATCCTAATACACAATGCATTTGCCAATCAGCACTTGTTAAGTTCACAGAGTACTTTCTACCATCGAATGCCTCAGAAATGTCACTTGTTCAGAAACCTCTAACATCTGATCCCTGAGCAGTTTATGGCTTTTGCAGTAGATAAGCACTGGATTAAAAAACCCCAAAACACAACCAAACCTTCTGAGCAGGTAGCAGAGCAAGGACTCCACCCTGTCACTGCCAGCTGAGAAACCAGAGTCAGAATCCCTCTCTCCAGCCACTGTTAATCTCTGGCTCCCTTCTGCACAGTCCCACAGCTCTGAGGTGTTGCTGCCATAGTGCTGCCTTTCCTGTGGGACATAATGCACAGCTTCCACTTTTCTAAGAGCATCTGAACACTATTTTCTCCTTAAGGCTTCCCCATCCTCCTTTGCAATCCTGTCATATCTAATGACTGTTGAAATACTAAACGTTGCCAATAACCAAGATCCAATTCACATTTTGATCATCTTGCCGGTATTTTTCTTCAAATTTCATGTTCAAAGTTAGTGCAAAGGTAAGAGTGCAAACTGAATTGATTTCCTATTACAGTACTTTCTGTTCCTTTTGAATTCACACAAACAATGTTGTTTGGTACTTCACAGATACTAGGGAGAAAAAAGAAAATAAAACCAACTCCAGAACTTTCAAACCATGAAAAGACTCTTAAGAAAAACTGACAGACTCAGATCCCAGCATTAGCTAGGCAAAATCTAAATTACTTTTAACAGCAATTCTATTCATTTGCCAGCCTAAATATCCCTTTTCTCCTTATGCCTAAATACATCAGGATGGACTTCTGCAACCCTACACTCTAGCCAAGAAAAAATAAAGGAATGTAATAGGCCATAACAACAATTTTTTTGCTTTTTGCACCTACCCAGTCTCAGAGCTGAATCCTGGTACAGGCTGCCATCTTCCTATCCTAAAGTAAATTAGATGAACTTTACCTGACTGTCACCTTTGGTTTTTGGGACAGTTTACACTTGTTTAAGACAGTGCCTGTATGTGTAAGTTCCTGCAGCCCTGGTGTGACTGCAACTTTGAAACATCCCAACTGGGCATGTGCTCCCACATCCCTTCCTGCAAGGCAGTGTTACTCACTGTGAGGAGCTGCTTCAGCAGCATCTACCTCACACTCCATGGATGCAATGGCTCTTCGGCCATGCTGAAAACCAGCCAGAACAGGACTGAGTACGCAGGCATCTGAGAACTTTCCTGCATCCAATTAATAGTTACTCAAAGGAAAAAGCAAATGTGGGTAATCACCCCAGAGTATTTCTACTTCTGTAAATTTCTGCTCTTTCCCCGATAACGGGAACCTTAAACTAACACTGCTGTGCTGTCTAGTTTCCCACAGTGAAACTACATGGAGGAGGGAAAAGGAAAGGTCAAGTTAACAAGCAACAACCGAGCATGAAGTCATATGATTCCCCTCTTAAGCATAAGGAGCCAGAATCCCTGAAGCAGCTGCCAACAATTAGTAGAGTCAGCTAATCCACCTAGGAACACACTACTGCCTTATTAAGACTAATTGCCATGAGCTATCTGATTGTCTAGGCTGGTAGGCAGATAACCCATGCAGGGAGAAGTCTGCATGCTGGCCTGCAGACTGGGGTCCTCAGCTCTGCTTCCCCTGGCATTTGATTTTTTACAAAAACCTGGTAGCACAGGTTTGCTGCACTATAGGACCTGCCTCTGTTACATTTACAGCCTAAATCCAGTGGACTGCTATAGCACAGACCTAAGGACTGTGAGGGGAAAAACCCATTTATTTTACTGAAACTATCACAATATCTCCAATCTTTGACTTTCCCTGAGCTCTCTGAACCACTGCACTTGATACATGCATTTGGAAACAGGTAACAAATTCAAGAGAGGAAGACTTGCTATTAACTAGGTGCAGAGTAAACTTCAATTTGAATTCAGTTGAAGGGGATCTAAATTTCTTTCTATCTAGTCATCTATTCTTAGTCATTCAGAAGGTAGTTTAACTACACAATGCTGAATACCCCAAAATAACACTTTAATTATAAACAGTGCTTTTAAGGAAGACTACAAAGTAGAACTGTTAAAACTGATGCCCAAAATACATTTTCCCATTTCCAGCTTATATACATCTATAGTAAAGTTGTAAAGTGTTGTTTCATAGTTTTCTGAAACCTGTTTTGTACTACAGATGTTGTATGTGATCATTCCACACTTCTAAACTCTTGCCCCTCATTTAAAAGCCAGACAATGAAAGTTAGAAGCAAACCCTGCAACACATAACAAGGAATGCTACTGTGCTCACAAGAGAACTAAGTGACCTCCAGATCCCTCCCATCACCTTCTGCACTCTCAACTGTCTTTGTAATCCTGGAGACTTGAATGAGGCTCCTTTTTTTTTTGTGGAAAATTATGGTGCAATCACATGCAGACTCTTGTAGAAATTACCCAATAGATTAAAAAAAATAATTTATTTTCAAACTAAATCAATACTTGAAAGCTCTGAAGTCCCTGATGATGTTATCTATCTTCCTGAAACTTCACAAGCTGTCAAACACTGCATCTTTTGTCAAATACTGACTGACCTACCCCATTTTGCAAACCTTTGTTTTTCCAAATGTAAAGTTCTAATTTAAATGTCGAACAATCAAAAGCAAAGAGATGGCACACATGGATAAGCCTACTGTCCCAGTGACAGATGACTGCCAGCTATGTTAAAACTTACTTTCACTTGATCATTTTTCTGATTAGTTTCAGCACTTCTGTGGCTCTGCTACTTAAAACCCCAAAAACCCAAGAACCTTTTGGTTTCAGTTTGAAGCACATGTTAAAGTACATGTTTTAAAGACTATTTGCTGAATCTAAATTTTTGGCTAAAATTGTTTTCAGTAAAACTTTTTTCCAGCACTTATTTTTATTGGCATCCATCTACTGTATACTACTAAAATCTTTGGAAACAATCTGGGATCAATTTCAGATAAAATAATGTAAGTCAAACTTGCCAGTGAATGTTCCTAAGTAGGGTACTTAAAATCTCATTTGCTGTTGAAGGATTGCATTTTCTGCATTGTCACTGCCTTTCTAACCAACATGGGTAAGTATGTTCAAGCCCAGTTAACCGAGCAGAAACCAGCTCTCCAAGACACTAATATTTTATTTTAGCTATATTTCTTTCAGATTAGCCTCATTTTTCAATCTAATTATATACTGCTGTTTCCCACTATTAATTTGAGAAGGAATTGTTTATACCTTTTCACAGGACAAGGGCTTTTGTGGAATGGCTCTACTCATTCCTTTTCAAAGAACCCTTAATGTAGCATTCCCAAAGTCCTCTGGCTTAGGGCCCTGGCTTTTCTTCCTCCTCACTCAGCTGGCCTGACATTTAGAATAGATTTGAGTAAAATGGACCAGACACACATGGTTGTGACTGAATAAGCCGCACTGGCTTATGTATGGTAAGTCCAGTTACAGTTTTCAGTGTTTAGCATCACTGTGCCCCAGCTGGGGCTCCTACAGTCCAACACATTGCCATGTCTGAGAGCAGGACAGTTGCACCATTATACAATCCACTTCTTACAGGAAAACCCAAAGGTTGCTTGAGTAGGGCAGAACAAGAGAGACTCTCTTATCTAGTAGTAAGCACATCACAGCAATCTCTCAACATGCTAAGTATGTGTAGAAAGGTACATAGCTAGCAGTGAGTCTTCAGTTAGATTAATTTTTATCTTGAGATATTCTGCTTCTGACACCTTATTATAAAGGCTGAAGTTGACTCTTCCAAAGGCTAGAAATCAATACCATCTCCGTTTATTACCTCTGAATTATGGTTAGTGCAACCAAAATTACTATTTATGGCATTGCTCTGGCATGTATATGTCAGTACAATGTAAAGAATAGAGATGTGCATATATAGTAACATGTACATGCGTGTGAAGATTACACATATAGCACAGTGGTAGATAAAATACAGAGCCACACTGATTGCCATGGGCCAAAACTACAAAAGCATTCAAAAAGGACCACAAAAATCAGGACAGCATGGCTTCATTGGTACTTATTGAACAAGTGGGTCTATGTTTTTGTTTCAGGAAGTTTTCTGCTACTGCTTGCTAGAGCTGGAAGGATGTACACCAGGTGAAGGACAACTCTATGCTTATCCCAGGCTTATGTTTCTCTCTGAGATCTTTTACTGACTGCCCTCAGAAACAGGATACTGGAAACTGGACACTCTGTCTCATTGTGATTTTAAATCTCCTACCCACAGTTCCTCACCCCAGATGATCTACAGCAGAAATAACCCAGACAACTGATTTGGCTTAAATGTCAACTAAATCTGACATTTCCAGCTTCTTCCTCATGTGTATCACCTTTGCTGTAAGAAGTAACACCCAGTGAGGAGCATAAACTGTGGAGACTAAAGTGCAGGATGATGATCTGGCACTTTAGATCCCTTGATCAGCATCCTCCTGCTGCCAGATTTCCGCATGAAAGTTTACTGCAAATTGCTTAAACTCTATTTGACACCATTTTACATATTAGCAACTTGAGCAGTTTTACCTGGTACAGGCTGGCAAGGTGGTGTTTAGTTTTAATCAGAAAGGGTTGGTTGACCCCTGGATGATCCACATCATGAGCTGCAGCAGCTAGCAGTCCGAGCATGATGTCCAGCGGGGTGAGGAAGTTGGCAAGCTGAATCATCACACACATTAATCACAACATGAACATGAACAGTAAACACTTTTTTTCCCCTTGCAAATAAACAAACCAGCTGACATCATGGCACTGACTGGTTTTGTAGACATTTGCATACAAATGTCAAATACAAAATAAATATTGCGAACAACCTTTCGAAGGTGACTGTTGAACAAACATCTATAAAGACACTACACTATACAATCATGTTTTATTACAGCCTGTATTTCTTATCTCTTTATCATTTATGGCAATATAAGGATTGTTGTAATAGAAGTGCTTGAGCATAGTCTAAGAGATTCAGTTAAAAAAACTAAACAAATATACTAACAGGTTGGCATGCGTTAGCATACATGGTAAGAGCTCTGCCTCACACAGCATTTAGTAAACCCAACAACAGATCAGGCTTCATTTTTCTAGCACAACACCATGTTATAAAATGCAGAGTTTATAAACTTTTGAAATTTCAAACTTGGCTGTTAGATATTTCAGTTCAAGTATGTATGTTTTATTAGAGAACATAATTTGCCCTTCTAGCTTCAAGTATCCAAGCTTGAACACCTGTCCAGAATTTTTTCTTGCTAAAAAGGTAATTTAGAAGCAAATTTTGTTATAACTGGAAAAAAAAAAGAAAAAAGGAAGTCTTAGCATACTGTTTCTGAGAGTGAGGCAGTTATTACCAGCCTGATGAGTCTGTACACAGTACAGGTCTATGATCTGAAAGAAGTATTCTGACATGAGAACTGAAGAGCAGTATGACACAGGTTCTGGATGTTGGCAATCCTCCACACTTCCTGCAGAAGGGACTTGAAGATCTTGCAGGAGATGAAAATTCAGGAAAGCTGAGGCCTGGTCCTGTCCTCACCATTATTATATTGTGGTCTAACAAACTGCCAGTTCTAGCAGAACATCCTTTCATTTGGAATCATAGAATCATCAAGGCTGGAGGAGATCACTAAGGTCATTGAGTCCAACCATTAACCTGCCACTCTGCTGTAACCCCTATATCATATCCTCCAGTGCCAGATCCAGACTCCTCATCACTTCCAGGGCTGGTAACTCCACCACTTCCCTGGGCAATGTATTCCAGTGCTTGGCCACCCTAACAGTGAAAAATATTTTTCTAATCTGTCGAAACTGAATCTCCCCTGTCTCATTTTATGGCCATTCCCTCTAGTCCTCTTACAGCAGACATGGCAGAGAAGACCATCCCCCACCTCTCTACAACCCCCTTTCAGGTAGTTTTAAGTCAAGCCAGAAAAGATTAGTTATGTTCTTATATTGTGGCTCAGCACTGCAGTATCACAATGCCATCCAGTAACACATAAGGCAATGTCACACCCCTATGCTGTGAGGACTTGCTGCAGCAATCAAATGCTGCTGTTTACTCATGCAGAGAACACCCTTGCAACAGACCCAATTGAAAGGATCACTTTCCCTTTTCCTGGTGTGGCATGGCCCAATTTGGTATTTTGAAATACTGATGTGAGGAGCTTATGCCCTGAGGTGACTGAGACACAGGCATGGATTGCCTTCTGCTCATTTTGATGGGAGGAGAACTGCAGGCACTGGTGGGTGGCTGATACACACTGTCAGGGTGGCTGGAGCTCCTATATCACTGCTTAAGACATGTTGCCTGCACGATGAGAAGTGACTCAAGTAGCCTGACTGAAATGTCTGTAATCTGTAGCTGACTCTGCTCCAGACTTGTTACTGACTTCCAGCATCCTATCATTTTCTGCTATCTAAAAATAGCTTTTTCAGGTTTTATTTCAATCCTGGGGAAAAAAATCTGAGAAACATCTGAAAGCAACATCAGTGTGAAAGGTTATCATTACCTTGGGCTCCCTCAGATAGCAGTGCATAGCTTGTGTGACATCAGCAGCATGGACAGCATTGTGGTATGGGTTTTGGCTATGGTAATCTTCTTGAACCATAACTGGGAATCAAAACAGAAAACAAAGATCCTTTTGTCTCTGAATGCCATGGCCACAAGTGGGAACTGGACTTAAAATACAATCTGAGGTTTTGCAGTCAGCTGCCTAAGGAGTTTCTTCAAATAGCTTTAGCTTATTTAGATTGCTGCTCTTATTGGGATACCTTAAGAGGAAAAAACGCATGAAAAGATTTGTGAGGCCTGAGGGGATATGCTGGGTCTAGTGCATAAATCAACTCTTTCTTGCCTTAGTGAAGGCTCTCATTCAGGAGTAAAATAAACAAGGAGGAGAGGCACATTTATCCACAACGGAGTGTAATTATTTAGGCTGCTGTCATAGGGGAGTAGTGTGCCATTAAGGCAGCACCACCTATTTTGCAGCAGCAGGGAGTGAGGGCCTGATATCCTGGCATCATTTGTTATTTGGGTGACACACTACAGCCAAAGGCATTCCTACATCCCCCAGGCAAAGAATCAAAAGATACAGCATTGAGGTATTCAGAACAAAACCTTCTGGGATAATTTCAGTCACATCTATGTGTTCATTTTAAAATACCAGCCCCTCTTGCTTTACTTTGCAATGCTGGAACTGGTCCAGATGGACCTTTTAACTCTCAGCATTCACTTGCTTGTTCAGCTGTTTCACAGAATCACTGAGGTGTGTGCTTCACACCCATCCGTCCCTTGCCGTAGTCCCTGTACCATTAGGTGGTCTTGGGACATCATCATGTGAACACTGGCAGCTGCGTGTGATCTTGCCCAATGATGCCAGCAAATTAAAAAATGGAAAGGTAACAGGCAAATTTCCCATGGTGATTGTTGCTAGCATGGGGTATGCCTAGCTTCACAAGCATCTGAAGGTACAGTGGGTAATCCTTTAAACTCTGAGTACCACTAGCTCTAGTTATCCGAGCGTCAACTTCATAGCTGTTCACAGGAGTTCAGAAACAGCAGGGAGATTTTGTCTGTCTCCACACTGGAGGAATGCTTTTCCAGAAGCAACAATAAGGCAGTCTTAAAAGAAGAGACCCTGCCTTGGAAACTCTGCCTGACAGCCTAACAAACCAGCATTCAGCTGCATTCAAAATCTGATGCAAAAAGTAATTGATTTTGGCCAATTTCTTCTTTTGGTTCACTGACAGCATGGGGCTAATATTTCTGTTGGCAGTAACAGCAGCAGGGGCTTTCATCAGCACTATTCAGTGCAGACAGCTTGATATAATTTGTTAAGTTTTGCACATAAGCTTTTAGCTGCCCTGGGTCTCAGTGGTCTGTTAGTCACTAAAGTAATTATACTGCACCACAATTGTCCTGTGCACGGGTAGGTTCTGAGAGGTCTGTCTGTCTGTCTGTGTGGGCCTACAGCTGGCCACAACTCTGCATGGCATACTTTATTTTAAATCACCAGTGCAACTGCGGTATTGGGATGCTTCAGCCTGATGCAGAGCCTTTTGAAGTCCCTCCACTGACTGGGTACTGCACAAGTACCTGTAAACTGTATGCTAATATATCTCATAGAAATGTTTTACTGAAATATTTGCAATAACATCATGACTTTTACATAGATACACAGACCAAGCCAGTGCCTTCTCTGATGCTCTACTTAAGCTGTAAACTTCATTCAAAGATGGCTTTGAGGTGAGCACTTACCTAAAAACCTGTGTAATGTAACCATGTCTAACTGGAAATGGTGAATAAGTCCATGCACATTGAAGAGGTGACAAAGCAGTGTTACAAGGCTGTTTCCTAAAAGCAGAAAGGAACAACTGTCAGATTCTGTTAACATGTAGTTACAAACCAGGCAAGACTAAAAATCTTGGTAATTTCCTATTAGTCAGCTCCTATCACCTATCATATGAGCTTAGATGACACTCATACTCAGAAGTCACTTATATAAATTACTCCTATATATAATCAAGAGTTGATGGCATGACTGTATCATGTGTCTGACTGAGTGTCATTCTCATGTCTAGATGTCATAAAGTTGCTGGTTCAGCGTGACATAGAAGGCAAACTGACATGGTTTTAACTGGAAATCTTTTGACAGGCTTGTTTGAGAATGGCATCATCTTCATAATTCAGAGCTACCTCCAGGAACAACAGAACGGAGAATGCCTTTTCTGCCACTTCAGTCTGCCATACTGCACTAATGCATTAATTACTAAAAAATCAGCAGTTTATAGTTAATTTTTTTATTTTACACATGGCTGTACAAACATGTAATTAACCTACATACCTAGCTTAGCTACAATTGCATCTCATCATGATGATGCAGACATTGTCACTGATGATGAGTTGCAGCATTTATGGTCTCAAGTCCCACTGTAATGTTGCTCTGGCCTTACTGTGAATCCAATACTGTGAACAGTGGCAAAATTGAGCCTACCTAGTATTACATGATCAACTATACATACACAGAATATTTAAAACAGTTTGCACTGCTTAAATCAGCAGCAATGTTTCCAGAAAGGTTAGATAAAACACCCCAAACTAACCAATCCATACAACATATAAACAATGTTTGAAGGGTCTTTTCTTATTTAACGTAACTCACAAATAAAATTAATATATGTATGAAGAGGACATGGAAACTTATTTGCTCTTCACTACTGAGCAGGCACACAAAAAGGTTAATTCAGAAGAAATAGATTTTTGCTTCCCAGGCATTTGCAGTCCTTTCCACTCTTCACTGCCAGTCACTCAGCTGAATGACACACTAAGCCAACTTTTTTCTACAACTTCCGTCCCAGCCAAACTGAATTAGACTGGGAGTGAGGAATGAGGGATCTCAGTTCTATGACCATGCAAAAAGGGGAAAGGTGTGGTCATGACCCTCTTCAGTGACACCATCAAGAGACATTGGGGGTGGTGGGTGTTACAGGCATGTATTTAGATGAAACATTTCACAGATTTTTACTGCCTTAATGAATTTCCTAATTTTTGCTGCTGAACAGAAGTAAGAGTATCTTCAGTTAAAGGTCCCTTGTGTTGACAGAAACTGATTGATCATGGAGATCTGGATTTACTGACCAATGTATCTAACACGTATATTTGAAGTACCTTGGGAATTTCCCAGGTAAAGGAAACAGAAACACCTTCTTGAAAAGGTGACCACAACAATGCAGAGATTAGCTTAATACAAAATCACACTTGAAACAATACCCTATAGTTCAGGAAAAGCCTCAAAGAGTTCCAGGATATGATTTTTAGAGAAGTTAACTGTCAAATTTTTCTTCAGTAATCTAAACTGGAAACATTTAGGAATTAATTAATTAGGGTCTTTTGGAAAAGTCACATAAGAGAGACATTAAAATAAAAAATTACTTAAAAGGATTACTTACCATTCGTCAAGCGGTCAAACAAGAATATGTCAAAATCCCACATTCCCACTTTGGATAGCATGTGCTGGGAAAAACAAATATGAAAAAGCAAATGACTCATATGTCAAAATGTAAAGCAGATCTTAATTATTATTTATTTATTATTATTATTTAATTATTATTCCACCTTAATCAATCACAGGATTGGTTGCTGAAGCTTTAAAGTTTTGTTTGGGAAAGTCATAGAGGTGTGTTTGAAATATCAGACATCAGGTACCAAATGTAGCTGTACCGCATAAAATATCACTTGCATTTTAGCCTTCTAAATGGTGCTCAAACAAGGAATAATATAAACCAAAATACTATAAAAATGTTCCCTTTTACTGCACAAATTCTTTATCGTTCTTTCATGTCCCCAAATCGATTCAGTAAGAATTCTCTTAGGTTTTTAATACAGTAAAATACAATCTTAGCTCTCCGAGTGAATATGAGTTACAATTTGCTAAACAAACTAATACACAGGAATATAATATATATATTTTATAAACTTTGACACAGTGCTACTGTGAAGCTCACTCAGATATACAAAGGATCCATCATTACCACCATATACAGTGTTTTTACAGCTACATTGGTTCAGTCAAGAGTCTGAGTCTGGACTAGCTTTTTATGACCTACAAAGGCGTAAGACTGAATGAAATACACATTCACTCCTATCTCTTAGTCTATATTAAAACCAGTTCCGGATTCTTAATTACTTTCTAACACCTGGCACATAATCTCCTCCTGCAGAGAATAAAAATTGCCTAGGCACATAATCCCAATGCCATCACTTGGGCAAGTGTGGTTAGGAAAAACCATTCAAAGCAAGTATGAGAGTTGCGAAATAAGATAATTGTATTTTGATCATTGTGAAATTCTTTGCAGTAAATATTCCCTGTTTCCTAGCCTTTGCCCTTATGGAGGGCTGTTGTGGGCTGCCTAATAGCTGCTCCATACCAGCTGAAGGACAACTGTCTTTTTTCAAGTGGATGAACTAAATCTCGTGGCGAGGCTGTATTTACTTGAATCTGTAATTTAGCCAGGGATCCTTCATCCATTAATAAATCCAGATTATAATTTCAGTTGTTGGAATCTGAAAATGCTGACTAGATTTAGACGTTTTCTTGTTGCTTTGAGACCTAAGCCTTTAAAGCTGTAACCATACAAGAGGAACGGACAGCCTGCTGTGAGTCAGGCACGTAACGCGGGTCATTTCAGAAAGATCAACCATGAATTTGTTTATCTGAAGACTGAAACAAAATTGACACTGTGCAATATTATTAAAAGAAATGGAGAGCTGGAGACCTGTCTTACCCTTGCTTGCCCAAGGTAGTCCTCATCCAGCAGGTACAGAGAGGCTTGTGGTACAATTCCACGCAGTAACCGCGATGCATGGAAATACCTCTGGAAACTTAACAGTCTTTTCACTTTTTTCTTGGTGCCGATTTCCCCTGAGAGCGTAGTATCTGTGAAAAGCAATCAGTACAGAAACCATGAAACCCAAGATGATGGATGACATTATCAATTACTTAATAAGAGAAAGACCAAAAGCTTTAAAATAGTGATACAAAAATCGTAAAATTCATGCTTTGTGCTAATCCACATGAACGAGCAGTATTCAAACTGCTGTTCTTCAGCGTTACATATCTGTTTAATTCAGAAAAGAAATATGTTCCAGTAAAAAGACTACTAATGTAGGTCTTGGAAGATCTGGGTTCACTACGTTGCCTGTCACAGACTTTAATGTGATCCAGGCTAAGTCACTGGCATGTGTGTGCGTGACATATCACCTAGCTGCAGATGTCCAGAGGGAATCTAAATGACTAGACAGAGTTAGGTACGGGAAAACTGCTCTTACTCTTCTGTGCCTCTGTTCCCTAACTATACAACTGAGAACAGCACTGCTACCTCACAGGAGTGTCATTGGAATTATTAAAAATGGCATTGCACTAGTGTTCAGGGTGATCTTGGGTATGAAATCAAGAAAGTGACACCAAAAGAGACTGCAAAATACAGTTTGAAAATACAAATGTCTGACCCACTTTCGGAAAGTGAGATAAAAGAGGGAAAGAAATAATAGGTTAATATTCCTATTGTATTGTCTGCTATCTTTCTTACTTATTAAATCAAATTATAAATGAAGAAAGTATTTTAGTTCTGCAATTAGGAAGGCAGGTATATTCAGATAATACATGCATTTCTGGTTACACAACACAGTATGTTCTTTTCACCCAGTGCCAGGATAATTCTAATTCCCTAATGCTGTATTATGAGATTTTCATATAGAGCTAAATGTGACACAAATAAATCACTAATTAGAGTAATTAAATTACCTTATTGTTAGTAAGAAAAACACACAGGGTTCCTAAAACTCATAGTAATTTAGGTAATTTCATCTGAACTTTTAGCAGAACTTCCCATACAGTTGTGGTGTTTTCATTTTGCAGACTGGTGTAAGTTTTGAAAAAGAAAGGACAGAAACCGGACAGTTGGTCAAAGGCAGTAAGGTTCAATACAGCTTTATTTGTAAGATGAACCTTGTAAGAAGCTAAGATTAAACACTCTTTGATAGAACAAAAATGATTTCTTGACAATAAGAAGCTCCATAGCAATTCAGCAAAGCAAATTCAGCAGAGCAAATCATAGGATTTCAGGTTTAAATAAGAGCTCATGAAAAATATCCAGGCACTGAAGACTTTATCTATTTTTCCATTTCTTTTTATAAAAACATACTGAAGGTTTGTTCTGCTGTGAAATTAAAATATCACTTTGCCTGCTGTTTTTATAAGTAGTATTATTCTGAAAGGATTTTCAGAGAAATTGTTAAGGTGTTTTTTGATCATAGATGGTTCAGTATTTGATTTCTCCAACAGATGTGTGAGCACTTTCTGCAGCAAGTTTCTTCCTTGTTAAGTAATCCAACAGCTATTGAGTGGCACAAAGTGGGTGACAACATCAAAAAAAGCCATCCTTACACATTGATTTCAATATAATTTCCAAGTAAGTCAGTCTCACGGTTCTCATGGGCAGTCTGAAGACCCCACTGAGTTTTGATAATATAAAAGCACAACATAATTTTATTGCAACTTGACAAGCCATGTGTTTTCCAGAATGCAAACAGTAACAATGCCACTACTGTACCAGCCTGAAGGTTAGGTTTTCGTTTATGATGTGCCAGCACCTGCCTTAATTCTCTCACACGTTTTAAAAGCTGGAACAATTTCATGGCCCGTTGAAAGAGTGACTAACGTAGGTGTGAACAGTTACCCGGTGGTAGTGACATGTGGAGGAACTGGTAGACTTGTTTTTGTATTTTGCTACTAAGAAATGGGTAGCATTCAGTTTAATTCCTGCATAACAAAACACTTAAAATAAATTCACTTCTAAAATTTTTGTCAGCTGTTTCTCAGCTTTCCAACTTTCCTACTCCCATCTTTGTCCCCAAACTGTCATTGCTTTCAGGTAACAAGTTTAAATTCTAAAGTACAAAAACCTTTACATTTGTACATTAAAAATTAGTAGTTTCCCTCACTAATTTTTCTCTAAATTACTATACTTTTCCAGTTAATACAGATGACTGAAATTACCACCTACACTCCCCTAAGCTGTCTTTAAAATTCACACATAGAGTTGCTGTGGATGATCTGAAGGTGAAGGTTTGGCTCTAGTCCTAACAAGCAGCTGTATGTTGGTTTATGAAGAAGTGGTTATTTTATCCTTTGGCTTACCAGATCATTTCAGTAGCAAAAGTAATACTTGCCAAAGCACAAACACATCAGGTGGAAACAAGTAAATTCATATTATGAAATATATTTTCTGAATTGAACCATCAAGCTTGCTGCCTATTGCTCTGTATGGTTGTCACAGGTCTCAATTCCAACTCAGCCATCAGCAGACAGTGCCTCTGAAACATGACTTGATGCTTCAGCTGAACACTGTATTACAATATATTATGCAAAAAAGATTACCCACAATAATCAGTTGCCCTGTATTCTTATTCATAAGGGAAGAAGTTCATAGTACTGATAAATAGTAGCAAATGTAGTTTCAAAACTGAGTTCTTGACAGAATGGCCTGAAGCCTGCACTGCAGGCTACCCACACTCTGACCTGAAGGACATCATGTTAAAATCACATCCTTTGGGTTATTTCAGTAATAATTGACTTGTCTGTGAATCACAGGATTTACCAGACGACTGCTGTGACCCGTAACAGATTACTAGGACATCTGCATTAATGTACCATATTATAATGGTATCTTGCATAAAATTAGACCAGGACTCTGCCCCTCTCTGTGCACAGCACACTCCAAACTAGTATAATCTCCTTTTTCTCTTTTCTTTCCGTTCCCAAGATCACTGTCAAACAACGAAAGAGAAGCACAACCACACAGAGCTGAGAAAAAAAAGGCTGATTAAAATAGAAGAGCCAAAGGTGAAACAGTCAAGAGTGAATGCTCAAATTCTGCCCTCAGCTCAGCAGCTGCACCTGAATCTCCAAGCAAAAAAGAGCTAATCCTAGCACATGGGATCCACAAAAATCAAGCTGGGGTTTTAAGATTAAATTAAGGGTTTATGTGAATGACATATAGTAATACATGACCATTCTACTTCTTTACTGACAACTGTAAATTTCAATTTAAATTCTAAAAATAAATTTTTGACGATGACACCTGATACAAGTCATACAGTTCCTTTGAAATACAGAGAGTTATTGATACCTGTTTCTAATTAGGTTAAATTGAATTACAAAGTAAGTGAATCAAAAATATCACCGGAGATATCCCTTAACTTCAATTGTGGAACTACGGGTACTAAAGCATATGCTATAGTGTCTGGTTAAAGAACACAAGCTGCAATGCTCATATGGGAAGGATTTAGTAATTATGTGCAATTTTGAAATGAACATGAAATGTCTTTAGTTTATACTCATAAAACTTCCCTGAGACCTGTGTTTATCTTTAATCATCATGGCAACTTCTGAATGTTTTGTTTACCTAAAACCCCCCCATAATCTGCATATCTTAAAAGATGCTCATTCCCATATGCCAGAGTTACTGCCTAGCACAGGGGTTGGAGAAACCCTTCTCTGTATACCGAACAACATTACTGTATGAATTACACAGACATCTTGTATGAATTACATACATGCTTACAGAAGCATTTGTTCAGGCACTCCTCTCAAAGCTTAACTCCTACCTCCAAAAAGCCCAGGCAGCCTGAGCACACAGTGTATCTCCTGGTGTTTCAGCAGGCAACAGAAGTGGCTGCATTTTTCTATAGGTAATTTGATAGCCACATCATGTACACACACCCCAGCAGACCATGAGTGATGTCTGCATACTGCATGTGGCCCTCGAGAGGTTAATAAGCTACAGGAATCAATGGTTGCCTTCTCTCTCCTAACACAGTTCCTTCAGTTACACAGATCTTCTTGCCTTAGAATGATCTATGGCTC